TATTGACAACGGCGAATACCGCAGTCGATGAAACGATGAGATGCTTGGAATCTCCAATTTACGCCAAACAGTGAAAAGGAAGACTCCGCGCTAACACTGTAAACTCAGATATAACACCTTGGGTATAACCGCTTTTGCTAAGGTATCTTATATTTTGTCTGATATATATGGTATAAAGTTAACCGGAAGTTTGAAAATCCTATATCAAGATTTATTCTCTTCGATTTTATCTATTTTTGGCGATACTTTTACATGCTTAGAATAAGATATCCTCGGAGTTTTATTAAGATACTAAACAACTTAAAAAGTACCGATGTATGCGGCATAAAGTCAGTCAGAAGTTCGAAAATCTTTTTATGCGCGCTAAAGGATATATTGACCCGATTCAACCCATTTCTGACATTGATATTTCAATAATATATCTCACAGATTGCCTGACATTTTCGGTAAAAAAGTGAACTTTTGGCACTGGCGGTCGCCTCTTCGTTATATGCTCTTGAACAGTTAGACAATTTCGCTTTCGACCATTTTCACCCACCATATAGGAATGTCAGGATAGTATTATTATCCGAATATGGTGGACATACGTCGAATAGGTCTTAAAATACGTGATTGCACCTAACTCATTTTGTGTTCCAATAATTGTAAATATAATACTTAGTTAGTACCAACATTCAATATGAGATTTTCCCAGCTTCCTTAAAATACGAATAGAAACTCCTATTTTGGCTGAAGAGTTAATTTCCATAATTGCTTAACATTTAGAGATTCAGTATTTTAAGTGACAATTATTTATTTTTTGAAAAAAAATTAAGCTCTGTGCCAGCCAAAGAAATCACTCAAAAGAGGAACTCATAAAAAGAATTCTAAAATACCATCGAAAAATACACAATGGCAACCCCGTCGACATATCGAGCTCCTACAAAACTATGAGTTTTCCGATTTATAATATTTCTTCAGAGGGTTGTAAATTTCAGAAAAATTTCAAAATTCAATTTCCTATATAATGTATAAAACAGGGTATTTTTTCAAGTAGTTGGAAGTGATATTTTAATTTTTCTATCTGTAAAGTAGAAACTTGTTGGGCGTAGGACCCTCTTATTACAATTACGAGGTCATACTTGGAGGTATCTAAGAACCTATCTTTTCATAATAAAAAGCGGAAATAATAGTCGGGCCTTTTTACTCACCCTATTGAACAGGGTATAATTGCCACGATATTTGTAACTCCCTAAAGGAAACGGCAGGGACCCTATAAAGTATAAAAAGGGTCTAACAACAAAAATGTTAAAATAAAATGAAACCCACAAATTTGATCTAAATCGGTCCTGTTTGTTTTTTGTTTCGTATATAGATAATGTATGACATTATGATTATTACATTGTGGCCCAAAGACCCATCACGGCTCCATTACCATATCTCTTCCCAATTTTCTATGACCCGACGCAACGTTTCTTAGTAAATTTTGGCTTTAGTGTACTGAGTGTTAATTTCATTTACCGCAAAAAGAGTCGGTCAACATCGTGTTATATCGCTATTAATGGTAAGGGCTTTTCCTACCTTACGAAAAAACCGCACCAAACCGTCAATATTTGGGGATGCAAATGTGTTTCCTGAACCACTCGATGATTTGACTCACACTAACAGCCACAATCTTGTTTGATATCGAAGTCATTATGCCAGATATGGCCCTTAGCTGAGATGATTTTTCGATTTCAATCGTCGTTGATTTTCATTATTCCATGAGGACAACGGCAAAACTACGGTTCTTTGAATGGTCTGACGGATTCAATTCTGGTGCTATTCGGATTGGCCTTAATACTAGCTTGAACAGTAGCGATATGTCCATCACTACGGTCTCTATTATTGTGGAGATTGTGGTAATTTCCGAATTTTACAATTATGCGTTGAAAAGATAGCTTAGAAAAGGTAACAATACGACGGCGTTTTGCGCGAAGAGCTCTTACAGTAGCTACCGGAGAACATGAATTTGCGTAGATATCTTAAACAATTTCCAAGCATTGTTTCAAAGTCAAATCCAAAATAATTAGTCGAAAAACCTTACCGAACAAACTCTCAAATTTGACAAAAATTAGGAACAAAAACGATCACAATAAGCTGTTAAAATCACGTCATTCCTATTGGTAGACACTTTACGAGTATATAAATGATGTCCAACCGTACCTCTTTTTGTTTACAAAATGCGAACTAGTCCCCCAGTTTTTCAGATATCGACCAGAAATTTTGCAAACGCCATTACCTCACCAAGAAGCTGTTCATTTGTAGTATCGGACGCCTATAGCATATAGCTACCGCACAAACTGAACGATCAAAATAAAGTGCTTATACGGCCGTTTCTTTAAATGACATATCTCGAAATTTAAGGTTATTGCTTATTAAATGATGCAATTTCTGTTTTTTATTTAAAATTTTCAAAATACAAAACGTATCGCCCTACGTGAAAAATAAAAATATTCTAATCATTCTGTTCTATTTATAATGAAAAAATAATAATAATAACGATAAAAGAATTTGTCTTAAATTTTGTATTTCTTCCACCTCTTCGACTGATGAAAATGTAAAAAAAAAATTAAAATTGTCAGGCAAGTCAAGAGATGGCAAGGGATCTCGACATCTCAGATAAGCAGGTCTCCTTAGGCATACTTAATCGTGCGAATTCCGCTCCCTCATTCACGGAGGGCATTATAACTACCGATGAGACATGGGTTTATGAGTTTGACAAATGGAAGAAAAAAAGCGAAGCAAAGAAAAAACAACAGCACGGCCGTACAAAAATCAAGGTGTTATTTATTGCTTTTCAGATATTCTTGGTTTGGTGCATCATGAAACTGTTTCAGAGGGACAGACGGTCAATAGGGAGTTCTATTTGCCGGTAATGAGGCATTTGCGTAAAAACATCCGTCGAAAACGGCTGGAATTTTGGAAGAACATTTCATGGAATTTATTACTGTGATCAAGAGGTGAATTTTTAATTTTACTTCGCATGTTTTTCGAATAGGTAATTTTTTTCTGTAAGTTGGTAGTACTGGTAATAACATCTATGATAACTCACGGCAAAATATTAATTAGTATTTGAGATACGCGTCATTTTAAGAGACTCTAAAAGTGAATTCATCGATGAAGTGCGATAATGCACTATCTCATATTGCATTGGTTATTCGTGATCATTTCGAAACAGTTTCAACTAATATCGTACTTCTGGCTATTCAGCAAATTCACTTCTCTCACCGAGGACACCGTTTTGACTCAATTGAAGATATATCGAAGAAGGCTCTGATGGCCATCACAACGGAGGATTTTCCAAGTGCTATGATGACTGGAGAATTCTTGGGCGTAAGTATATTGCAGCCGGAGGGATTACTTTGAAGGAGATGAAATGGGCAAAATTCACTTTTCATTTTGATCATAATGGTTTTACAGTTTTTTCTTCAATAACTCCAGAAGATTCTGAGAAGTTGTTTTGAAATTACAAATCTGCAAGTTGTGTGTAATGTGAAAAACTCTCCAGTTTTTCTATTAGATGCTATTAACGCGTGCCATATTACAAACTTTGTTTTGGTTCCGTAAAGCTTTTGTATATTTTCGTTATTATTGCAAATGTATTGAAACAAAGGAGCTTTGTTTGCTACTTTGCATGAGAGTATGTGTGAATCTCCAAATCGTAAGTCAATTGAAAGCAAAAGCATCCAACGAGAGCTTTTCATAAAAATAAGTTCTTTTAAAACGGAAACAAAAGTGTGAGCTTTAAGCACCAAAGACATTACAGCTTTTGGTATAAACTTAATGCCTTAAAAACTTTCCCTCAAATTATTCATAATAGCAAATACTTGCGGTTCAAAAAAGCTTTAATGTTCAGGAAATACGAACCATAACTATTTATTACAAGACAAAAACAATGAAAGGAAAAGAGAGACAACGTGAAAATTTTTTTACAGTAAATATGACACATGACTTAACGGTAGATTGAAATAATTTAATTAATGGCGGTTTAACGGTGAAACACCGAAGACAATTTATTAAGAATTAAATCATATTTTGATGGGAAATTTAAGAAAGTGCTGAATTAAACTTGTTGCAACCACATCTTTAGCACACAAACCACATCATCAGTTTTACTTTCAATAAAACGATTATAATATATATGTACTCGTATATATTGTTTGTTTGCTTAGCTCCTAAAAGAGTTAAACGAATTCAAGGCCCATTATTTCCGAGTAGTCTAATTCGTTTCAGTTTTCTTCTTACCATAGTTCTTTGATATAATGCAGAGGTTCCAGTCAAAATCCGTAAAGCATATTCATAATGAAAATATTAACAAAGATCTTGGTATGCCTATGGCAAAGATAAAAGTAGGGGACGGCAGAAGGAGCTATGAACTTAAACCCTATAATCAGCTACAGCCATCGGAAAAAGAAAGCACTTGATCAGAACTGGCATTAACTTCTTCTCTTTACTTTAATAAGCCTAAAAGATATTTTCAGCAAAATTTAAATATTCCTTCTCATTATTTCTTGCGTCAAACATTTATAAGCTTTTCTTTAATAAGCAGCAACGGCAACACTGCGCTCACAAGCTGTCATTAGCTGTCATAGCTTTCACTCTCAATTCACCTCCATTTCACTCTCATTACATCCGCTGCGCATAACAACAAACATATTATGTGTATGAGTGGGTGATTGGGCACCAATGATTTGGCTCGTTCGGTTGGTCTACTACCACTCGGCTACTGTGTCACTGTTGCGCTGCTTAAACACTTCGCTATGAAAATGTAGAGGCACATTTTTATAACCACTTCCTGCTTTGCGACCATCGCTGCTGCTGCTGCTTGTTCTTCTTTTGCTGCTTCGTCGAATAAATACAACACTTTTGTAAGCCATGACTTTTCGGACACGCTCTGTATGCACGCTCAGTTGGTAACGGGATATCGAATAGAGTGCACGTGCAAAGCGGTTTACTGCGCTCGAGGCGCGCGCGTCCTGTGACAAATATATGGCTATATGTGTGTTTGTGTTTGTGAAAATGAAAAATTTGTGATTTTTAGTTTGCTTTTTTTAATGGTGAACGAGAATTAGGCAAATAGTGCACACACCAACGAAATTGGGCGCTACGGACAGCCCCTAAAAGCATGCTTATGCTGCTGCAGCGCGTTTACCTAGCACAGAACATTGCCTACATATACATAGGTGCATAAATATTATGACACATAACAAGTCATCGCATCGTATTTACGCAGATAAATAGTTGATTTGGCAGAATCTCAGAGCATTGCGTCTGCCGTGCGTTTCTCCGAAAGCCAGTCGCTAAAAAGAGGTGAGGTGAGCAGCTTGGGTGTGTGCACCTGAATCGTGTTTAAGTGTGTTCTGCATGCATGCAGAAAATGATTATGGAAAGTGTTAGAGTGCTCTTCCAGTGTATTTGTTGTGTATTGAAAGTGTTCAATTTCATGCGACCTACAAACCATGCGTTTACTAAGCATGTTTGTGTGAATGAGTGATAGCGAGTAGCCGAAATTTTCATGCCTTACTAGAGGAAAGGCGTGCAGAAAATGATAAAAACATATAAAGCAACAAAGCAAATCAAAAAATTTTGCGAGCCAACAACGGTTAGTGTGTCAATGTGTTAGTAGTATCTTTTACAATTTTCTTTAATTTTTTTGAATGAAGGAAAATATGCCATACCCTACAGCCAACTAAAGAATTTTTATGCGCATATGTACATATGTCTACATGTGTGTATCTTGTATGTGTGTTTAGGTTTTACAATTCTGCACACAACTGTTGTTGTTTAAGCCAGCAGTTTCTGCTCAGGCAGCGTTTATGTCATCGCCGCTGTGCGTTGATGTGTAAAAATCGGACAATTTTCGGTGATTCTAACAAGCTAATTAATGTAAACACACACACACACGCTTATAGTAACACACACACATGCACAGCTGGGCGGCAATGACAACAAATATTGCCATTGTTGTGTGACATTTCTGTTTTTGTTTTATTTTTTTTTTTTTTGTTTTTCGGCTACGTGATTGCCATATGTTTATTGTTGCTTGTTTACGATTGCACACTGTTTGCTGCAAGGCCACTCGCACACTTTGCGGCCACGGTGATTAGTTGTTCGGTGCAAAACCAGTGCGTTGTTAGTCTCTGGTTGAACATATTTGAACAATTGTACGGTTGTAAATATATTTTGCTGTATGATTTGTGGGCTTAATGCGCCCAATTGTGGCCTCAATATGAAACCAATGTTATGAGGCAACAGCATGGTCCACAAAACATTACTGAGAACAACAACAAACCAGAATATATGTTGACTTCAGCTGCGAGGATGTTATAATACCCTTCACAGAAGCTTCTTTATAGCATAAAAGGATATAAAAGGCAGAATAGCTCGTCTTCGATCGGGCCGTTTATATAGCCGTTAAGATATCTTGTGAGGTACAAAAATTTTATATACCAAACGACTGGTTTTGGTTGGTCAGTTTATATGAGAGTTATATGCTATAGTAGCCCATTATCAACGATTCAACGTCATTCCGTCAAACGCGCAACTGCTAGGAGAGAAAAGGACGTGTGGAAAATTTCGGCTCGATAGCGCCAAAACTGAGGGACTGATTCGCGGAAATACAAACGGATCCGCGATTCATTTATATATCTACTTTATGGTGTCTCCAACGTATACTTTTGGTTGTAAGAATCTTCGTTCAGGGTATAAATATAGCAATTATTTTGAACGGGAGGTGTGAGTGCCTAGCTGCGTGGGAAAAAATCAACACAGTCTCAACAGAAATCAAACAAGCCACAGAAATACTCACACACACATATATGCATGTAATAAGTAAAGAGTGCTTGTCTATATGTATGTGTATGTGGGTATTTATATAGCCCTATTTGCTATCACTGGTTACCATCAAGCATTCCCAAGCTTTATTAAACACCAAACTAACATCTCTGCTCATACTCGCGTATTGTCACTACCCACAAGCACGATTCAGCCAGTGTATCATGAAAGCCATCAACCATCTCACCAACTCACGAAGCAGCCATTGACAGCCATATCATAGAAATATTCCCATTTCAACACGACGCAAAGTATCAACGCATTCCATTCCGACCATTCCATTTCATTCGTCAACTCAAGTCAAGTTGATGCTGCAGCCGCTGCTCCGGCCCTCTCTGCCCCTGCGGCTGCTTCCGTGCTGCTGCTAAAATACCATTGTAGTCATTTTACTTTTTTCTTTTCTTCTTACTCTGCCTCTGCTATTTCTTCTGTTGTTATGCTTTTCCTCGCTGCGGTTACTTTTATTGTTGCTCTCGCAGTCAGTCAGTGTTTATTGTTGATTTTAAGGCATTACCGTTACTTTGCCATACTTTGCCTTTTCACTTGAGCGTATTAAACTGTGTCAAAGTATTCGTTTGATTTTCAGGACATTTCACTATTGTTGTACTCACCCGCCCGCTGTCCAACAGCGTAATAATCAGTTTTACTGCAACCCTTAGAAACCGCCCACGTAATACTTCAGTTGAGCGGCATAACTGTTGCCTACATTTAGGCACTCATTGGATTTTTCCATGGATTTGAGTGAGGTTTGGGTCTATATTAAATAACAACAATAAGGAAGGTCTAAATATGGGCCGAATTGCAAAGGATTTATCCTTGAAAATAAATTTATAATAAATATCACGTGTCTATTAAACATTAAGCGGTTTTGTGAAAATTGAGAAAATTGAGCATCGTTTAACACTGTTCTTATACAAAACCAATTTATTAATACATCACCTTTTTTGGAACGATATCAGCTCACCACTTACAGTTGTATGCTAAATAATAGCAGTGACTTATGAAAAATAAAATAATGTTATTTTTACACGAAAAGAGGTTTCTCCGCGGCCACAGTTGAAGAAAATTGTGGATTCGGCCCGAAAAAAGCCATTTTATGCCAAAGGAAAAATGAAAAGCGAGTTGAATCGCAGTCGAAAAGTTGATAAGTTAAACTTTTCGGCAGAAACGCAAGAAGGAAGCTACTACATCAACCTCAGCAAGTGCAGGCCAGAGCTCAAATTGTTGCAGAATATCTGCATTGATCATGATAGAATGTGTATGAAAGCCAGAAAATGCTAGATCCCAGATATATTTCCTGGACGGTGAAACAAAAAACAACTTAAGAGCATACTTCCCTTACTATAGTACAAATCTCTCATATTGAATAAAACAAAACATAAATACCAAAATTTTACATTGCTATAATAGACTATCACTTGCTGGATTACAACTGAAATTGATCTATCAACAAGACAATGACTCCAAGCGTACGCGCCAGTTGGCAAAAAACTGGTTTACTTCAAATTTCAATTTAATCACATGATCTTAATCCAATAGCGAGTTTTCGGACAGAGGAAGTGTTGTGAAGGTGGCGTAAAATAAATTATTTTTTTCTTCGATTTATTTCCTGGTTATACCACTGGTTTTACATATTTCGAACACAGTTGTACGTCCATATTCACACTATAGTAAGAAGTGAAAATTTTCAGAAATAAAAGAGTGATCCATTTCAAGGGTCCCTACTTTTTTAAAGAAAAAACACAGCAATAGCGAATGTTCATTAACATTCGAAAGGAAAAGTCTAACGGTATGATATCACATGATATTGGTGGGCAATCGACCAGCCCAAAATGTGAAATTATCTACTCACCGAAGTGTTCTCTCAATAAATCTATTGATTGATAGGATGTATGGGAATTGTTGAAACCAAATGTTGTCGAGATCACGAGCTTCAATTTCAGACATCAAATAGTCGGTTATCATGGTGCGATATCCATCGCCATTAACGGTTGCGTTCTCACCGGCATCATTTTTGTAGAAATATGTACCGATGATTCCACCGACCCACAAACCACACAAAACTGTCGCTTTCCTGGAAAAAATGGCAGCTTTCTCTATTCAGTCCAAAAATGCGGCATGCGGTCTGTCATTTACATACCCATTGAACCATAAATGGGCGTCATCACTGAAATAATTTGGCTTGAAAATGTCAGATCTTCTGGGAACTTTTTCAGCGCGGCTTCAGTTCTTGCACATGCTATATTTTGCACGTTTTCTATATAAGATCTCGACATAAAATGCGCCAAGTCGTTCCATACGTCAAAGTTGCTGCGAACGACGATGAATCGACTCTCCACGGTCTTCGTGTACACTCTCATCAGCTACTGATGCTATATCTTCTTCACTGCGTGCTGAGCGTGGTCTATTCGGTCGTACCTATCCAATAACGAATGCTGGATCTTAAGATGGGTGTTGATGTCGCTAATAGTACGTTCAGTAGGCCGATTGTGTTGGCCATAAGTTGGCGAAGCGCGCAACGTTCTTCAGGCTTAAGCTTTTCCGTCATGAAATGCTAAGCAAAACTGAACCAAAGTAAAATAACAGATTGACACGACTCGCGCGTGAACTGTCAAAAACAGACTTTTGAAAAAAGTACCTTTAATTTGATCGCTCGTTATAACACATGGCAACTTAAATATCTAAGTACAGGATATATTATTGTTTGCCACGAAGTTTGTAACACCAAAAATGAAACGTTAGAGGCTCTATATCGTAACAAGCTGAGTAGATTTAGCCATGTCTGTCTGTGCGTCCGTCAGTAGGTCTGTCTGTATATATGCGAATTTTTGGAGATATCGGTCTGTCATGTTCATGTCATTTTCTCTCAAAGAAGCTGCTCCTTTGACGGAACCGCCTAGTTATTGTATAAAAAGCTTTTTCAGTAAACGAGATATTTTCAAGAAATTTGGCATGGGTTGTTGCTTAAGGCATTGGTGGTGAAGTAATTGGTAAGAGCGGATTGTTATAGCATTATTCTGTAAAACAAACTTAACGTTCAATGAATCTTTTACTACAGTATATATATTTGGAAAGCGTGTTATAGCTTCGGTACTACCAAAATTAACGTTTTTTTCTTTTTATTGTAGAAATTGTCATATTCGAAATACTCATTATTTCTGAATCTCAAAGAACGTTTCAACAATATTTAAGCCTTTCTTTGCCTTATAAAACTTACAACAATGAAACCCCTTCTACTATTACCAAAAATTAGTACAAAAGTGTAAAAAAAGGAAATAATTGTCTTGACCAACTTCTGGCAAATGAGACCAATAATATGGATAACAGCAACAAAGCTCAGAAATAAAGTCGTTTCCGCAAACAGCGACGACGAGATGTCTGCGAAATGCGCTCTAACAACAACATCAATTGCAAATGCAAATGGCACACAATAACAACCGTTGTATTTGTGCAAAATAATAAAGCAACAGCCATTT